TAATAAAAATTTTAAAATCAAATCAGATTGCAATGAAAAAAAAACACAATTATTACCTTAACGCAAAACTGGCAATTTTTTTTGCAAATAGCTGAAAAACTGATGATTATAAATTACTCAAAAGTACATTTGCTGTGCAGTGTCTGAAAATCAAATGTCTGGGTTTCAGAAAAAATTCAAAGACTCCACTGCTAATAACAAATTTTTGGTTCAAGAGCCTAAAGTAGTTCAGCCTTTTCCTACAAAACCAATAATTTATAGATAATTATATTGATAACTTTGACTTAATTAATGACATCTTAAAATATAAAACAAAAACGAGAAAAGACTACAATTCGGAAAAAAAATGTATATCTTTCAACCGTCAATTTCTCGGAAAACATTTGGAATGACAGGTTTTCACTAAGTATTAAGTTTGTTAAAAACTGATGAAGGATAACACATAAGACTGGCGAAATGTTACTATATACAGTGGCTCAAATATTAGAGCCAATTGAATCCTAGCAAAATATTAACAAGTGGAGCACGCAATGTCGAGGCAAAATATTGTAAATTCTAAAAAATTTTGCAAAATCCAATTAACTTGAACAGCGTGTCGACATACAAAAAACTAAGCATTTGTGGTCTACTTTATTTGAGAAATACATCATGTTTTGTATAATTTTTTCGGCCAATCATCAACTTTTTACATGTGTGTTTTTGAGAACAAGCACAGCTTTTCACCTAAAAATCTGTTTAATATGCATACAAAAGAATCTAAAAAATGTTTGCGTTTACAATAAGAAACAAAAGTCCGTTTCGTTTTTGTCGCTTAAAGACCGTCTTTTTTAACCACAAATATTTCGATTATTTCGGATATGAATCGAGTGTTAATGAGCTCGTTTGAAAACTCGTTGAAAATTGTTCTGAATTTGAGGCATTTCGAACAAGTTAAGTCTTTTAAATGCATTTCGAAACAAGTTTGTTTTCGTTCAAAATCGTTATTTCCTTGTGTATTTCTGAGCTTGATAAATCTTCTATTATCTACCTAGGTGGGTATCTATTATTCTTTAATTCCCATCAATTTATTAAAAATTTAAATAGATAATAGATACTATATCCGAAACTGCTGATATAATTGCAACTTTTTTACCATTTTCTTCTCGTTTTCACCAGAAAATTGACGAAAAATGGATAGAAATCCATCTAGAAAACTCCTCCCTATCTGGGGAGTAAATTATCGCTAAAGACTGGTCTTTTCATAAGGGATTTAGCAAACCTACATCGGCAAGCTCATTTGCGCAATGTTTCGGAAACAAAACACTTTCTGTTATTAATAACTGAACTAGTTCGAGGAAATTATATTGGAAAAACGGTCACAAAGTGGTAAATGGGGCTCATTGTTGATGGAAGACAGCACAACATACCGCTAAAAATTGCAGAAATACTTTCAATTTTAAACATGTTGGTTAAGCAATAAGGGAAATTGAGCGCAAAAAACAAAAAGAAGCATAGCAGACGTACAGATAAAAAAATGTAGGAAATGAAGTACAAAAAAAATATGGAACTTTGTATCAAAAATTATTTTAGAATTCATCAATGACTTTGTAAGTGACCAAAATTATATAAAAAATCATTAAAACCGAATGCAAAGATGAATGGCAATATATTTTGCGTGAAAATGTGTGCTAACAGCGGCTAAAATTGACCGAAATGCGACTTAAAGAATAAAAGCCGGGTGGAGGAAGCCGAATGCAAAAACTGAAGTAGAGAACGAAACAATTTTTATGCGAAGCCAAAGAGTTTCCAAACAAACCGATTTTTTTGCAATGGAAACCAACTTGAATTATTTACTTTTGCCACGGCAGGATTGTCTGCATTTTAGGGCAAAAGGTCTTTTGCAGTGCGTTCAAAGCGCACTTGTCCACTTCAGTTCTGATGTTTATTTTTTCTTTCACCGAAAGCAAACCCGGCTGATATTAAATCTGACCTGTGTAATTCGATACTGGAAATTCATTTGGTTCGGAAATTCCCCAGGGAAAGGCCTGAAAGTCATTTTTCAATACGGCAGGATATTTATATATTTACGCGAATTCCTCCGAATTGGAAAAATTCCATTTCTTACATAAATATTTTGTCGAAATTTGGATACTCACTTGAAGTCTTTTGAGCGGATTAACGATGGCGCAATACCGTTCCGCCGAAAGAGCGGTAAGTGTGAAAACGGAAACTCCTATGCTAATATCTTTCACACATTCGGATATTTTGCACACTGCAACGCCCCATGGCCAATACTCTACAGTGTAGACGATGGAGGTGAACGGGACGCAGGTGATAATCACTAGCAGATCAGCCAGAGCCAGGGAGAAAATATATCTGGAAATAAAACCCTCAGTTACTTGAAGTGTGAATGAGAACTCAGCTTTCCTAATGTTCTAAACTGTTAAATCTTCAGCAAGTTCATAAAATTTGTTTCATTCATGTAGGTGGATAAACAAGCTGAGATGAAGATTTGCCCAAATCTCCCAATTAAACCACCCTTGTACTTTGATTTCCGTTTTTAGTTTGAATTTGTTCGTTATTTGCTCTGTCTGTCTAACAGGCAGCGCCAAAATCCAGCATGCACAAATAAGAAGCCGAAAATGAAATTATAATCCGCTGAACGTGCTGATAATCAAAAGTGGATAACCGATGGACCGAATTCTGAACACCACATCGATCATTTTTTAATCTTTAAAAATCTTTTGTCAATTGCGGAATTTCTACTGTTGATTCCATTTGGTTGGAGGGCGATGCACCGCCGAGCAATTTTTCATTTATTTCCTTTTACTGAGCGTTTTGGTTGCTTACAAACGAATAACATTAATTAAATTGAAACTACCTACTACCTAGAAAATTCCATGGAAGCCCGAATGCAATATAACAAACAGTTCAGCTGAGAAGTTCAATTATAACGCTAACGCGCCTTTCATGTCAGACGTACGATAGTTTTCCAGGGCTATTTGCCGATAAACTTTCCCATTGAAGTTTGGCTAACAATGCGAGTATTGCTTTAAGAAAAATTTATTATTTTCTCGAATCTTCCGAATGGATTAGAAGGATATAATTGCAGTTGCGCGAAAAATGCGCGATTGATTTAGGAAGGAAAATTAACACTAACAGGCAGGCACAAGAAAAATGTGTTTCGAATGTAGTAAATCCTGCATGAGAAAGCGCAAATGAAGACCCAAAAACGTGAAAAATTATGCCAAAGTGGAATCGAGTGCATCGTTAAATTGTTTTCAAGTTATTGATGTTTTTATTTTTTCGCGCTTTGGGAATCATTATTTGGAAACCTTTGCCTCAGTTGCGGGAATGCGATGCTACCAAAGACAAATTAACTTATGAAATAATGAAGAATTTTTCAACAGATTAAACGAATGAATAAAAAAGCCAAAAATGCAGATTTAGTAGATACTTACGTATTTGGAACGTTCCGCATTGCTTGATGCCGCAAAAAAACGATCACCAAAGTGCCGTTTCCGATGACGCCGACAACAAAAATGAGAAAGAAAACTATGGGAACTATGTACGTTTCTACCCGCTGTCCATACGGCGTGTAGCCCTCCTCAGGTTCCAGGGACACGTTGAAGATGTTCGGCTCATACTCTGCAATAAAAACCATAAATAACATAAAACATGGAATAATTTGCAGCTTGATGGTTTTCCATCTTCAACCCTCGGCTCTTGGGAAACTTTTTTACGTGATGAGTTTTTAGATAAACCATCAATTCGAGCACTCGTTAGAGTGTATCGAACAGGGCGTCATTAATTTCGCCACGTTATTCTCACTTATCATACCTGAAATTAATTGTTTCAAAGCGGTTTGAATTGTAGAAGTGTTTTCGAATTGCAACGTTTGACTTTTATAACGCTCGCATTATTTTAGGCTGATTGATTAATTGCACTTTGCCGAACTGTTGTCTTTGGACGCCACTTAAAATAGGCGCTCCAAACTATAGCAGGAAACTTTGGAAACTATTCTTTTCATAATAATTTGGCGACCAAAAGGAGTTTACTGGAAACTTTTTTTTGGTAATCGCAGCTCAAGTAGAGGTTTCAGTACGGGCATTGAAATGAGTAATTTTGGAAGATTAATTGACGATTTTTAGAAACACTCTGACCGTGGCGCGTGAGTTTCACACGTGTAGATGATCCTTTTCGACTTTTACCTACAACTTATCCTAATCTTAAAGCTGGTTTAGGGCTATTTTAGAATTCTAGTTATTACCGTTGATATCTTTTGATGCTAAACGTAAGTTCTGAGATCTATTTAATCAAAAATGACCTAAAATTCGTAAACCATTTTACGAATTGTAATTTGTAAAAATTATAACCTATCAAAAGCATGTCATTTTTGAAGTATGTATGTCAATTTAGTCGATTGTTCAATGTTGGGTAATGTACTACGCCGCGCAAAGAACTCCGTGAATATTTCGCAAATTTGTCAAATTTTTCCGGTTTTTATTAGAAAAATTGTTGAATCTCTGAAATGGCGATGTTTTCTCCAACAATTAGTCATATATTGAGCAACAGCAAAAAACGCGATTTTTTAAATTGGTCTGACGTTTGCTGTCAACCAAACCACGGTTATACTCACATGCGCCCGCTACATAGCACGATCGAATATTGTTGACATTGAAGTGTTTTCGCTTCAGAGTTTTCAGGATTTTTCATTCGAAGAAGATGCATAAATGAATGGCAGAATAGAAGGTAAGATTTTTATTAGCAAATGCTATTTGTAACGCCGTTTTCCTCATTTCTGGGACAATTTTCAATTTCAATTCAATTTTCAATTTTCAAGTATGATAGTATTTTTTAAAGCCGCATACAATGCACTCAGACCAACTGGTCAGTTTTTTGGACTTTTAGATCGCTCCTCGACGACGGTCTAAAAGTACGAAAAACTCAGCAATGTCAGCGAAATTCCAACTCTTTCAAATATTTCGGAAATATGAGTAAGTTGACATGATCGCATTTGTCCAGTGTAAGCTCTCGAGCGAATTATTTGGTCGGAAGGAAGGTCGGCAAAAATGTTTCTACCGCGGCCTTAAAATTCGGAAAACTCGCCAGTTTCAGCTGCCTTCCTGGAGCAGCAAAATAGTGTAATCAGTTTCAATAATGGCCTTAAGCCGAAAAAATCCTTAATACGATCTAAATCCTTTGCGAGCGACTAAGCAAATATTGACGCCAAATCTCTATACAACGTCTTTATTCCGTATAAAGGACAAATTTTCCATAAAGAACCATTATTCAACAGCAAAGTAAATATGTAGGTATATCATTACTTCCGTTTACCGGTGTTTGTTTCTTGAGGATTAACGCGAAGTATTTATACTGGTTTAGCCGAAATAATTGTCAAATAGATTTATTTGTCTTACTACTGCCTACTCGAAATAATGATACAATTTCCTTATCGCCGCTTATTTCGCTGTGTATTTCACTCCTATCGAATATTAATAGTTCGAACTTACATTCTGGTATTGGTAAAAGGGTTCAAAACCAATTATCGCGTCGTCCCCCTCAAGTAAAATATCCTTAAAGTAAACGCTGATATTCGATAATGGAGCAGGAAGAGCAATATAGGATGATATTTGAATCGCTATGTCGCGAAATGGATTTTCTATTTCTTCAGATTTATGATGGCTTTAAAGATTAACAATATAAGTTACTCGCCGATGCTGCTAAGTTTAATCCGTCTCCTACTTTTTGTTTAAATAAAGCATAAAGCATAGCAGAAGTTCTGAATAAAAAAAATTAAAAAATGTACCTACGCTAGAAAATATTTAAAATCAAAACTATCACTGACATAAAATCGATTTGAAACTATCCGAATTCAAAGTTATGCCTCAAATAAGAGCAAAGTTATGCACCCTCGCATGTTTTATTCATCGCAGATAAAAATCCCTGAAGAAAGCTTTTTGGATAAAAAAAATCCTTTTCAATATAGATAAATAACAAATAGTAACAAATTATTTAAAATGTCACATAGAAAACTTTGCAAATTGGCACATTTCAACCGCGCACTAATTAATTAGAAGAAAATTTGCAATCCACAACACACTTTTATTGGAATGACCAGCGCGATTTAATTAACTACATCAATTGAATGGATACTTTAATTAATCCCTTGAATATCCACATAATTATATCTATATATGTACTTATCTATGGAACTACTCTATATAAAATATATTTTGGTTTACCAACATGCCTATTTGAAAGCCTAATTAAAACATGTATACAAATAAACCAAAATTTTAATTAACAGTAGTGACAACCAATTAATATCATGCAATCCAGTACATTTTCGCGTGCCTAAACTTTCCGCAAGTTTCGAAGCGGTTTTACCAAAGCTGAGTAGTTTCTACTGGTAAATTGTGCGGTTCTGACCCTAAATCGTATAAAAAGAATTTAACTGAAAAACTACTATCGCCTCAATATGCTTTCCAATTTAATAAAATCTCAGTAAAAATAAGAAGCCAGTTTTGTTAATTTTATTAAATTAATTTGTCTGGTGCCAATGAAGTTTCTGGAGTTTTTCCTAAATTGCTCTCGAGTTTAATGCTATGCAAATTAATCTCTACACTTGAATACTACCGAAGGAATAATTAGATGATAGACAAATAAATACCGTGAAACTTAGTTCTAAAGTAGCTAGTAGTGCATTGAGTCGACCCTTGAGAATTTAACACTAAGTTTTCATTAGTTTTGCTCTAGATACATTTAAGATTTTTATTATTGTTTTATTAACAGTTTGGTGAATAGTAAAAATTCGAAGAAACACTCACCGGTAGTCGTCTCCATAATAGATTTGCATACGCAAAAAGCGAGCACACACGGAAACTATTAGCGCAATATTTTCCCGCTCTTGCCTGTGGGACTCAAGAGACAGGAGGACGCGGAAATACTAAAGCAGTAAATCATAACTTTTGTGAAGTGCGAAAACGGCTCTAGACAGGAATTATTGCCTTGCGCAAAATATCCGTTATTCGAAAAAGAAACAGCTATAGAGCTGGACAAAATAAATAAAATCCTGGATATAAACGGATAGACTTGTTGTCGTTTCTGTTTCAAAACAGACATTCCATATGTGCTTAGCCTATTTCCTCCAAGGAATGGATTTTCCGTTATTCTTTGTGGTCGCTTTTAATTAAAAAATGAAGTGGAATGTTGCTAAGAGTGGCGATTTATTTTTCTCGTCTTACAATTTGTTCAACTATTCGGCATTTTATTAAGGCGTTATTTGCACGCAAAGTGTTAAATCACATACACTTTGTTCGACTGATAATCTCTGGATAATACAATTGAAGTCCGAAGATCAAAATGATGGTCATCTTGCTTCAACAATCACAGATCCTCCTAAACTACAGCCTTTTTCCGAAGAGTTCAGGCAGAAAATCCAAGGAACAGTGGAATTAACTTTGTTTCCGTGAAATCGCATCAGCTTTTTGCGGATAGTGTCTCAAGAAGCATTTCGCTACTCGCTTCAAAGTGTATTAATTTAGTAAACATTTCACTTTTCGCTCTCTCCGCCGATACGCATGATACAAAAGCAATATCGGATAATTGTATTACGTTTTAAGGCTTTTCACATCTTTACACGATCGCTCGCTTCTAATAAGCGATTTTACATCATTTTTTTCTTGGGTTTTCAAAAGAAATAGATGAACTGGGAACTTGTGGAAAGGGATAAAAACGAGACTAAAATTATATGATGATTTATTCCAAACTTTCAGAGTCATCAGTTCGTTTCCGCTTTCCTTGATTTTTATGGCTTTTTAACATCGGATTCTGCCCAACCCTAAAACAATCAACCAGGTAATTTAAGGATAAATGAAATAGCTGTGTAGTTTTACTTACATTGCTTGGGCTCGTGAGCCCGGGCCCCAAAACCGTAGGGGGTTCTGTTGGAACCTCACCAGTCCCTTTTGTTTAGACGCCGGATTGGCAGCTGGATGCAACTCAAACGAATATTCCTTTTCGGGTGATTTTTCGAGGATTGTGGTCGCAACCTTATTGTTAGCTATACTCTTTTGGGATGTCGGATGCAGCTTTTCCCAACATCTCATGATGTCCCATATAACGTGAGCAGGTGCGTTCGTTTTAATAGAGTTCTTGTGCGTGTGCGTATATGAAACTTGGTAGCCCGCGTTTAAAATAGCTGACCTATAAAAAACGCATTTTTTAGTTGGTAACTTGCGTTTAAGTATGTATGGAAGTTACCTTATAGTTAGCATCGATGGGTTTTCAACTTTAATAGTGTTGGACAACCGGTCTAGAGTATAGTAAAGTGGAACATCGACTAACTCTTCCAATACCATGCTTAGTATCCCTCGGATGCGCTTGAAGGTGCCCAAATACGGCGGAGCGGCCTCAAGAACTTGCTTAACAAAATCGGGAGAATGGATCGGGGCTGTCCAAATCGGTCCTCCTATCTATATTGCCTAGATTATTACCCAAAATAAATCAATCACAAAACCACTTACATGATAAGGGCTTCCACACTGCTGGCAATTTCTTGTTACCGGCGGGCCTGTCGGCAGGCAAAACTTCACCAGATTGTTGTTCTTTTGATGCGGTTTTCTCATTCCTAGCGGTTGTAGCTCGAAACCATCACACCCAGTACAATGGTAAACATGCGACAACTTGCTAAACCCCAAATGTTAAGCTGAAACCATTTTGCACAACTAAAAATCCTACCTTGTGGTGTTTTTGCACTTTGCAGCCCCTGAGTGCACCCTCACAAAAACTCTAATGTAAAAATCAGCAGAAACGCATAGAATTGGTTCGATGTAACGGCTGTATCGGTTGGCGTGCGCCTCAATGCATTGCAATAAAATGCGGATTGCCATTTCGTGGCAACATTTCATTTTTAGAGAAATTGCTCCATATTTAACGTAACACGTTTCTGGACTGTTTCCAGCTAAAACCGCCATATCAGTGGCGGTTACTAGCAAAAGTCCCCCCTTTTTGATAGACTGAACTGCTGAGTCCAGGAATATTGATGGGCATCCATAAGGGTCTAAATCTATTACATCAAACTGCTTTTCTCTTCGGTGCTGATACATCAGCATTCTACAATGGAGTTTAGTTGAGGAACATTGAACAGATTTAACAAATAGACACCTACGTGGCATCATTGTGGCTGGAAGTTACCAGATTTTCGACATTATTCAAAGCGATATTGTTGTTGATATCATTCACAGCCTCCTTAGAGATATCGTTTGCAATAATATTGTTTATGCCAGGGATTTCCTTCGCATATCGAATGCTTCGCAGCCCTGTAGCGGAAAGAGCCTCCAAGATGCACAAACCATCATCATATTTAATGCCGGGACTTCGGATATCAACAACAAGATTGTCTTCATCTGAAATTTGCTTGTTCTTGGCGTTCCGCTCCTGCCGAAGCAATTTTGCAAACGTTGCGATTGCAATAATACTGCGTGCAAGAATTCCTGATCAAAATTCAACTCGGTTAAGTTTAAAGCGCTAAATCACCTCAAGTCCCTGTTAAATTCTTGAACAGGGTTATAGAAAACCTTGCCCGATGTCCGCACCTTTGCACGTCCTTCTAGGATTTCTTGATCCGGTTTGGGTTCTTCAACTTCGTCCATGACTGAAAAGCAAATAAACTTAAGTTGGAATTTGCGTCTGGAAGCTTTCACCAGTACCAAATATGGTCCGGTTGGCGTGCGCGTATTTGATATGGAGCTCAATTTATTTAATTTATTATAAATGCGCTTCATAATCATATTATACACATGTAAATAAATCAAAATTTAACGGACATGTTCATATGAAGAAGTTCACCGAAATATTCTTCAGCGGTAGTGTTGTACCTTCCGCCCTATTGAAGAAAATGCGCTTTTTAGAAAGTAACACATTGAAAAGGTTAAGTCTTCTCTTAATTAAGTAAATAAAGAATTGGAATTAGCACTGAAAATACCCAAAAACATAGTGCTGCCTTTCCGTTTCATAGTCATTACAATGCTCTTTTTGGTGCCTAATAACTTCATTGAAGGCATATTTTCAGCAAAATTGAATAAATCTGTCTCCTTCATTTGTTCAGTTCTCACCAGCACTGCTAAATCGAATCAAATATGTTCCAATTCTAAAGTTTTGTAGTCAAAAAGAAATGGTTACCTGCACAAACGCCTAGAGTTCTACGCTTGAGCAACTGAATGCTACTTTTACATTTATTCTTCAAAAATTCTTTGAACAATATAAGCTTTCGCATAAAGAAACTTTAAACCATAGATAAAGACGAGTGACAAAATGCTTTAAACTTCAAAGAAAGTTTGTAAAAGTATTTTGGAAGCTAGGTTAGATGATCAGAAAGTGAGGTTAAAAGACGAAATCTGCTTCATTTTGCTTCAATTTGGGTGTGAAGGAACGTTCATAAATTGTGAAACAGACGATTTTTATGTAATAATTACTGAATTTGCACCAGTTAATATAATTTTATGCACTTTGGTAAGTAAAGTTAACTTAAATTTACCTCCTCTGGGTGATTGGGCTAGAAAATTTAAGAAATTTTGTGATTTTGTAACTAATTTGCTCAACGCGGCATCTGTGTGGCATTACGTCATAATTTTTTCTGACGTTCGATAATTCGCTGATGACAATGACAACATTCAAAAGCTAATACAATCCTTAAAATACATCTCAGGTATGATTTAAATTAAATAAGTATTGAAAACATTCAGACACACGGTTAACATGAGCGTAGAGTGTAAAGTCTCCAGTCCGTCCTTTCCCATTCGGGTTAGGAGCGCTATTCCGAAACACCGGTAAGATGCCAACTAATTTATTTTCAGCTTTCAAATTTTTTAATAGTTTTTCTTTAGAATGACTGAAACAATTTAAAAAACCGTTTTTGCTACATGATTTACTAAAGCTTTTTGGATATTGAAAGTTTGTATAAAGAGTCTACCCGCCAAGCATAGGTTTTTATATGAAACAAATTGAACAAAATTTCTTCATGATTTAATTGTTATTGGCAAGTTGGGAACAAATAATCAGCAGTATACCGAATCTATCCTTGTACCAAGCATAGAAAACTAATAAACCTGTTATAAAAGCGCGTTAAATAGCTAAATTTTAGGTTTATTTCATTTACATTTAAGTTCCAGTATGTGTTGTACTCATGTATTGTGAAAAAACACCTGCGCTCAATTGAACGGATTGATATTAGAAGACTAGCGGCTTAATAATTAAAGAACGTCCCTAAAGGGACGACTGGTTTAGATGATTAACCGGGTTAATCCGCTTTCTTTTATAGTACATACCTACTCAGTTTTATTTTTAATGAAAACGGAAGTAATAAACCTGCTGTTCCAAACTCGTGTATTCCAGTTCGTTCCGGATGGATTTAATTCTTTAAAGTTGTTTAAATGTTTGAAATCTCGCTCAAAACATAGTTGCAATATTTAAGTAAATGTTTTCAAATAACTCGTAACAAAACTGGCTTCAAATGTCGGTATTTGACGAGTTAAAAAAATATATGTGCATAAAGCTTCGATATCGGCTAGTGTTAGGCAAAGCATGAAAGATACAGCTGGCCTTCGGTATTTCGTCTGCAGTAATGACGATTTTATTATTATGATTTCAAAACTCATATTGTTTTATTAGAAGTTGGTCCGGCTGTTTTGCTCCTTTTTATCAATTTACCATGATTGTAAAACCTAATTTGTTTGAATCCTTTTCCATTTATGCCCATAAAAGTTCTGCCAATGATTTTTTATCATTTATATAATTTATCCTATAACAGTCACTTTCAGAAAATAGTTTTGTGTCCGACATGTTAGTATTTCGATAATTGTATACTTTCATTTTACTGAAATTTACTGGTATTATCCATATTGTGGTTAGTGAGTTAGTAGTATTAAACCGTATGATCTCACTGTTAGTCATCAAGCAACAGAATTAATCAAAGTGTATTTATTTCATTTTTCATTTCATGCCCGATAAACCCACAATAATTGTGTGCACAATTTATTTCGTGCCATTCAGTTCATTCCAGTTAAATGTCGCAAGCTCCATTTACCTAAGTGAATGTTTATATGTAATAGATAAGAGATAAGGGGATAAGAAGTTATTGATTTATGGGGTTCTTTGTTAAAAGTAAAAAGTTTTTTTGAAATTACCCAACCTAGTTTAAATAAAGGAGTTTCTACATCGGTAGCCAGGAAAATCAGATTATTATCAATAGTTTTTTAATGTGTGAAGAAGCGCGAAGTTTTGAGCTGAGAATAGTGCACAGTTAGTACGTGCACGGGCTTTATTTTATGGCTTCCTTTCGGCACATTTGGGTTTGGAGCGAAACATTTACCAGTTTTGAGATACCCGGTAATTTATTTTCGAACGAAATGTTCTCTGCTTGAAACTAGGATAATTTTGGGCATGGTGACGCTGAATTTTTATATTATTTTTGTTTGGCATTTTTTTCGGTTGCTATTTGTTGAGTTTTAACTACTGGTCTGTAATCTAAGCAATATTTTGTTGCAGACAGGAGTTGTTGAAATGGAATGGCTGGGGATACAATGATTCGAAATTTATCGTTGATAATAAGCAAGTATATTTTTCAGGAAAAAGGTACGTATTTGGGAATTTTTCAGCGAAAATGTTGTGATAAATTCGAATTTAATCACTAATCGTATCATCAGTTATATTAATTTGTTGATGAACATTTTAATTGAGGAATTTATGTTGCTCATTACATAAATTTGATTATTACATTACAAACCAACTTTGATGAATCATTTTACAATAGAGGCGCGTGTGTCGCGCGATTTGTATAAATATTGCATACAGTTGCTTTGAATAATCGATATTTAAGATCAGATTCTCATTATACAAGGTGTTCCCAAATTAAACCGACTAACTTTTAGGGTTGGATCATGTGCTTTATAAACATATAGTTTTTTACTAACTAATAGATTTACTACTATTTAATAGATAAATATTCATATAAGTTAATATAAGTTAAGCTTTGATTCTTTTAACCAACTGCTAGATATCCCATTGGTGAACTGCGCCTACCAAACCTGATTGGTTGGGTTACACAAACTTTGGGCGTAGATTTATCGAATCCCAGTTCATGTCAGGACACACCAACGAACTCACAATATCCCCCGCCCATCATACCTGAAGAGATTTTTAAGCAATTAAAATCCCTTCATATATCGTACTCAGTGGATGTTTTGGATCGAGTGGTTCGCGCCCATGGACACACGTTGCACGATATTTTCATTTTGCGAAATGGGCGATTTACTCGCATTCCTGATCTGGTCCTCTGGCCCGAGTCCCATGAAGATGTTTTGCACATTGTAAGGCTAGCTGATGAGTTTAATGTAGTTGTAAGTGAAACGTAGAATCTAACCGGTGGAATTCTATAAAGTAGTGCCTTTTATGCTGATAGATTATTCCGTTTGGTGGTGGGACAGCAGTATCTGGGGCGGTAGAATGTCCAAGTGACGAATCCAGGCCGATAATCTCGCTTGACACTTCGCAAATGAACCGAATTTTGTGGTTGAATAAGGATAACTTGGTGGCCTGTTGTGAGAGCGGTATTATCGGCCAAGATCTGGAAAGGGAATTGAATCGTCTTGGCTACACTTCGGGGCATGAGCCTGATAGTTATGAGTTTTCTAGTTTGGGAGGTTGGGTAGCGACTAGAGCGTCAGGTAAATACGGTGTTCAGTTAAAGCCCCACACTTTCAAGCGGCTTGCATGAGATCCAATCTATTTAGGCATGAAGAAAAACACCTACGGCAATATCGAAGACTTGGTAGTTCACGCCAAAATGGTGACGCCGAAAGGAGTGCTGGAAAAGAGCTGCCAAGTGCCGAGAATGAGCTGCGGCCCCGATTTCAATCACGTAGTAATGGGCTCAGAAGGATCACTTGGTGTTGTCACGGAAGTTATCCTCAAAATCCGCCCGTTGCCTCAAAGCAAGCGATATGGATCTATGGTGTTTCCAGATTTTGAATCAGGCGTCAAATGTATGAGGGAAGTCGCCAAGCAAAGGTTTGTGTTTTGGGTAAAAGAAATCATTGCTTTTTGTATTACTCATTAAAAACCAGTTTTTCGTGTTCTTTCCCACATGAACAACGGATTTGCATGATTAAATTTTTTACAAGCTTATTGTGAAAATATGTATTTTAACAATTATTTCTGGTTTAGCAGAAGTGTACCAAATACCCGTGACTGTTTTTTTTACTTTCAGGCCAAAGAATTTTTAGATAAATGAAAATACATTAATTTTTGCTCAGAATATTGTTACAGTAGATATTTTCTGCGGATAATGTGTGAAAAATGGTTTATTTCGGAAAAAAGTACATTAAGACGGTAGAATACAAAGCAATTATGCAAAGCAAGATGGAATAAAACGATCGATCTATTTATACATAATTTATCAGCGTACGACGGTCAACTATTATCAGTTTGTGTTCTACAATTCATAAAGCTTAAGAACGGGACGGTAATCAATGTAAAATTGCCATCCGTGGTTAAAAATAAGGAAAATTGCATTTTCGCTGTATTAAAAAAATGTTTTCGATGTACCTATGATCATTTTAAAATTTTCTCGTGATAAATAATGCTTTTATTATTATTGCTATTGTCAGATTTATTAGAAAGGAAACTCCTACTAGGTGTTTTTTGTGCGATATTTTTCCTCTAAATGTTAATAATTGTGAAATTAGTTGAAGGAAATCACGGATCAAATGCATTTCGTACTGAACTAATAAAAACAATATAGTTTAATCTCGAAAGCAGTAAAATAAACAGGAACAAAGTTATCAAGAGGCAATTAACAAACAATCGTATTGCCGAGATAAGTTTACTTTTATGACCCAATTTTTCACGCAAAAATAAATAAACGTTATCGCAAGTTCACATGTTCCAGCCTGTATTTTTTCGGGCGGCACATCGTCTTTATTTTACTGTTTGTTTTATTTAAAATCCAGCAAAACAGTTTCTCATGTTGGTTTTGCTGCAAATTAAGTAGTAGATTTACTATATAAACAAAAACGTTGTTGCGACCAAAATTTACGCAAAAACTTCCTAGAAAAATTGATCTTCATGAAAAGTGCTGATTTCTTTGCGCATTTTTGAAGACTGGCCGCTTTATTATATTCCTCATTTAATCAAACATTTTCTATGTGATTTGTATAATATTTCAGATGTCAACCCGCATCCATTAGACTAATGGATAACGAGCAATTTAAATTCGGCATGATATTGAAACCCGAATCGTCTTCTATGAGTTTGGTATTGGACGGGTTGAAGCAATTTTATATCACGGTCATAAAGGGTTTTCATCCTGATCGAATGTGTGTCATGACGTTGCTCTTTGAAGGAGATGAGAAAGACGTAATAATAAGCGAGCAGAAGATTTATGGAATCGGGAAACTGTTTGGCGGCGTTCCCGCAGGAGAGCGAAATGGCGAAAGGGGATACATGTTGACTTTTGTTATTGCATACATCAGGGTAAGTGGACGTTGAAAAAGGACGAACATATTTTATTAAATTAAATATAAAGTTTGTTTTTCTGTAAGTGACGTGCGTTTCCGTTTTGCTCATATTGTTAAGCAGCGCAAAATGAATCAATAGGTATTTCCAGAAAACAACAAATCAATCTTAAATGTTGACTTTTTTTACTGATTGTCTTTGCTATTTTAATCTCGTTGATTAATTTCAAACAGTGAAATGTTTTTTTGCACTAGGATTTGGGGTTGCAATACAATGTGGTGGCAGAATCGTTCGAAACATCCGTGCCTTGGGACCGAGCCATCACTCTAGTAAAAAACGTTAAATACGTTGTCACCACCCAGTGCCAAAGACATGGAATAACACATTTTATCATCAACTCCCGAGTTACGCAAACCTACGATGTTGGATGCGTTATTTACTTCTATTTGGGGTTCAATTACTCAAATATATCCGATCCTGTTGGAGTGCACCATCAATTGGAGGAGAAGGCTCGCGATGAGATTATCGCGTGCGGTGGCAGCGTCTCGCATCATCACGGAATAGGAAAACTCCGACGAAAATGGTACAAAGACACAGTTTCCGGAGTGGGTGTGGACCTGTACGTGTCCACTAAACGAGAACTTGACCCAAAAAATATTTTTGCCACCAATAACTTTATTGCGTCGATACCAAAGAGTAAACTGTAGTGTTGCCGCGGGATCTTGCCTAGCCGGTTTTGCCATTTTCTATGCCAAATTTTTTTGATTAGTATTTATTTAATAGGTTTTGCACGTCGTGAATTTTTGACCATTTGCACCACAGTATTATCATAATAGTAGTTACCTTTTAGCTTTAAGCACTTAGTATTTATACATTGATAAGTGGTCTGATTAGTAATTTAATGTGTTTGAAACAGTTTGGACTGAATAAAGTGTGTTTATTTTGTCTGGTTTATTTATTTATGCCTTCACAATATCGTTGGTTCTTTCAATTTGCTCATTACGTTCCTCTCTGATTTGACTTAATGTAGCGAGAATTGAGCAAAATGGAGCAGTATTTGCATAGACATCATTATCAAAAATGAGCAATCTCCAGTGAAAACTTTTTTCACAAGTTCAGCCTGAGTGTAGCGCTTTGATGAAGGTTTATAAGAAGCGTTGATTTTTGAAGTGATAACTTTTTATGGGAGAGTGAACCGATTTTTCTCGGTCACGGCGAGCCACTCCGGCTTCTTCGCGCCTGAGGCTTGGGACGCACAAATGCACTTTGAATTCGACATTTTTCTCTTAGTGCGGGTGCATCTGTAGATCTGATAAACTTTTCAA